CGACGTATGACATAAACTAAAAGAAACGTTGGAGAATCGATGTCAATACAAAATTCCTTGCAAATGAAAGAAGCATGTACCTGTACTCCATTTATCTATTTAGTTCGTACTATGTGACACCTTATCTTGAGCATTTTACACGCTGTCATACATTTTGAAAAATAAATCGGAAACTGTATCAAAGCATGTAAACAGTTTTGATAGTACATCATTACAAATTCAAACACGCACATTTACAGTGAAAGATGAAAAGACGCAATGATTCACATGGTAATGCTATTTTTATTCGAAAGGCACATACGTTAACTGATATTTATTTCCGTTTTGACGAGAATCAATGAGTATAGTTTGCATTAAAAGCGGAAGTATTGTAGAAGAGGAAATATAAAAGACGATTAAAATCATAAAAAATGATAATGTTACTAAATACATTGACCCATTGCTCTACATAGAAAGTCAAACTGATATTTTTATTAATTTTTTAGAAAATAGAAAAGAATAGAAAAGGGAATTTTGATACATCTTACTTATTATCAATACACGTAATGGGATTGTTATATATCTGTTAAGTCTACAGACTGTCGTAAATTAGGAAATAATTACACAGACTGTGTCCTATTTGGAAATAAAACTTTGTTCATCAGAAAAAAATGATTGTAAAATGAATCGATATTAATTTAGTCCCCAAATCATTGATGTAAAAAGTTAATATGCTGGCAGAATAAATTTATATTTAACAAAGTTTAAAATTTAATATCAGTGTTATTAAAAGCCTTTTTAGGACTGTTTTGGAGTTTCGGCGCGTACGAATTGACCACGGACAAAGTAAAAGCATGAGCAGTGTCCAGTGCAAGATCGATATTATTAATATTTACTTTGTATTACAAAGCAAATTTGCAAGTCATTTTGAAATTTGATATAACAGCCATATATATATATGGAAATGTTTTTTAAGCTGCTTGCTGCTTAAGGCAGTCGTAAGTATACATTTAATTTATAAATCAAACATTTTGTTTAATTTAATTTTAAGTAATATGTCATAGTGAAAAAACAATTTGTATAATTTCTACGAAATGACATTGAATACTTTATAAACATAATACACGTATAATGGAATATTAATTAAATGTCGTCAACTTAATATATCGAATAAATTTACGTCAAACCAAATGGAGAAACGAGTCAAAGCAAGTATCTAAGTACATTCATTGTTGAAATCTATATTAAGTTTACTTAAAACCTTCTCCGTAATAGAGCGTATTCAACTCAACTATATTGAACTTTTTATCACAAGGACATATCCTGATTCCATTCTTATTCTGTCCATCATCATTTATTTTGGAAAATAAGGATGGCAATGTGATATTCCCAGATAATTTTGTAGAGCTTATCAAGGCAACACTGATGCGCAGGCTTCTTTTGGTCTACTTTGGCGTCAAAAGCTTTCCGATATGAGTACTTGTATTCATAGTGTAACATTTTATTGTCTTAGTTGATTTTTTTTAATAATGAGATCGTCAATTTACATCTTCTTAGAATCATAATGTTGATGTAGCTCAATATGACGCCTTTACATCTAAATTATACTAGAAATAAACACCACACACAAGACAAAGTGACTCTACTATTCTTAGTCATTCCTAGACATTAACAAAATGTTTATAGCTGATACAAAACAGTTCCAAGAGACAGTATTATATATTGTTTACACAATGTTTCTATTGAGATATTATCATTAACATGTTTTATTAAATTTGCAAAAACAACCACAACCTTTATGTAAACAAAACGTCTCGTTCGAAATATCATCATTTAATTTTTTATCGAACTTGCAAAACAAACAATTGCTTAAACGCTTCAGCAGTAGAATACGAATGTCTAATGGTATTGACTATTCTTAAGTTGTTCTGTACAATTTAATTTATTAATTTGTCATTAAAAGCAGTATTAAGAAAAGTGCTTAAGTCGGTATAAGCTGCAAACATACAATGTAGGCACTATGTCTCTTGTTTTTTACTTCAGTAACACTTTATTTAGTACATGTTGTTGAAACGATTATGGTGTTGTACTGGTATAAATAAATACTATTATAATTAAAGAGTATTGAAATACTTAAGATAATATCGTTAATATAAACTTTACGATGTAAGATAATGCTGAAGAGAAACAGTGTGACTTTGTTTTAAATACCACTTTAAAAAGTTAACATTTATAACCACTTAAATGCCACTAAAGATATTGTATTTTGTTACATTAATTTAAATATAACTTCAAATGTTTCATGGTAAGGTATTGCTTACAAAAAAGCGTGTCACTAAAAGTTTGCTCGTGCTATATTTAGTAGACTTCTTTAATATCATTTTACACTGGTAATTCATTTCAGTCAGGTATTCAGAAATAAGAAGTCTCCCAAAAATAGTTTTTCATTATTCCCATACATATTATGTAGCCGAAATATAATTTTAAACTTTTTCCAATGACTATCAAATGTATTGGTATGAATACATGTAACGCGATGTGCAATCATTGCAAAATTAAATTGTAGTTTGTGATTACAATTTATATGTTCATGAATTTCACCCGATAATGCATTTAATGTCAACCCCTTCTAGGTAATATTTCCATGATTTTAATTTACGTTCAATCCTCCCGGAAATCATTAATCTGTAAAATGTTTCAATCTATTATGTCTCTTTGTAGAAACATAAATTTTATGGCACTTTGTTTGGATGACACAATTTGATATATAACAGTCGTATGACAATTTGTAAAAGAATCCCGATAAATATGTTTTTGTTTGGGTAAAAAAAAAAGTTATTTAAATATCTTTTTTTTAAATAAAATTTTGTACTACCCATTTGCTATAAGATAAAACAAACTTCCTTGGTATCATTTATTCTTCATGTGGAAAAACATTATCAATGACAAATATCTGGATGCTAAAAATGGCATTTCATCGAATATATAAATATGACACAGTTGCTTCTCTCCTTAATTTGATTGAGAACTGAAATTATTAGAAGGATACTGGTACAATGCATGGCTGACCTTAACCATAGTGTCTACATGATGTCTATGCATTGCGTTACATCATGTCCAAATAGAATACATTAATAATATTAATCAATTATGTTGCTGGCGAAATATATTGGAGATCAAGCTGCCCGAAAATAAGAAAAGACCATTTGTAGTGGCAGAAATATATGATATAGAGCCTTAGAACAGCCGTAAGGTCATACTACATGACAGACCAGTCTATAAACAAGGCATGTGAGTCTCTATGAAAGCTTGATAATATCATATTGTTATATTATTTCGTTTTCAAAGTCGTGCCACTTTAAACCCAATATCGTATCTAATTCCTAATATCATTAAAATTAATTCAATTACTAACTAAAGGTTATTTGTAAGATGGTAAGCACTTTCAAAAAATTCAAGTTAGTATATTTTGATAGTTACCGTTTTAGAATATAGCTTTGTTTATTCATTTTAGAAGATAAATGTCATTACACATTATCAAATTTAATCATCTTCTCATATGACAAAATGAATTATGTAACCTGCACCCATATTTATTGAAGGATCAAAAACAAATTATGTATTGTATTTATAATTATGCGCATACAATAGTTTGGTTTGTACTATTCACAAACGCGACCATATTGAAAATAAGATCTTATTTCGCTAACTAGACTCGAGACCGAAGCAAGATTTACGGTTTCATTTTCAGAAACAATAAAGCATCTTGTGTTCCTTTTGTTACATATATTTAGTGTAGCTAATAATAACACTGGACATGCAAAATAAATAAAAACATTAAGATTATTGTTAATGTCTTTAGGGATTTGACTATTATCGTCTAAAACATGAGCGAAATAATTACAAAAACCTTCCTTTTCATATTTGTCAGGATATGAATAACAAACAAGAGCTGTCGGTAGGACAGCAACGCTTCACTATCTTTAGTGCTTGATAGTAAGAAAGCCTTGATAATGTAAAATTTCCTAAGTTAACAAAAGGGATTTTTTTCCCTTTAAATCCATGTTACAGTTATAGGCCTTGGAGAGAGTCCTATTATGCTCTCAAAGAGTATAAAATTTCATCTTGTGTCAAAGTCATATGTCAATGGACTTTTTTTTTAGGTATTACAAAAACTTTAAGTCGAAAAAGGGGCATAATTCTGTCAAAATGCTTGATAGAGTTACCTCCTTCTGTCTAAACGTTTGGGTCATGATGGTTAACAAGTGTGCAAAGTTTCAAAGCCATATGTCAATGGACTTTGAAAATATTTGAGGTATTACAAAAACTTTAACGTAAATTCTAAGTCGAAAAAGAGGCATAATTCTGTCAAAATGCTTGATACAGTTACCTCCCCTGTCTTCAGGTTGGGGTCATGATGTTTAACAAGTGTGCAAAGTTTCAAAGCCATATGTCAATGAACTTTGAAAATATTTGAGGTATTTCAAAAACTTTAACGTAAATTCTAAGTCGAAAAAGGAGCATTATTCTGTCAAAATGCTTGATACGGTTACCTCCCCCTGTCTACAGGTTGGGGTCATGAGGGTGAACAAGTGTGCAAAGTTTCAAAGCCATATATCAATGGACTTTAAAAATATTTGAGGTATTACAAAAACTTTAACATAAGTGGTTACGCCGACGCGGACGCCAACGCCGACGCCGACGCTCGGATGACTACAATAGCTCTACTTATTCTTATCGAATAGTCGAGCTAAAAAGCGAAAGCTGAAACAATAACAGAGGGGAAATTGTTACATTAAAACATGATCATCAAAATGGTTATGAAATATATTTTCCGCCGGTTAAGTGAAGCGAATAAGGCGGTAAATAATTTCCTTTGGATTGGATAGATCTTTTGAATGTACCAATCAGAAGTTGTTTTGTTCAATTACGTATGCACGAAATACTGTGCATTATGAATTGTAATTGAAAGTCATTCAGCTTTGGGTATCGATACTGTACAGTCGCTTTAATTTTTAAACATGGATTCTTCACCTTCTCGTCAAACTGAAGTTCAACAATCTGATATCAACCAAACGTTGCAGTTGGTACTCGATCAATTAAAAGGGCAGCGACAAGAAATCAGTTCTTTGAGAGAAGACGTTAAAGGAAACAATTTTTCCGTCACGTCGGAGGTCAAAAAGTTGAAAGAAAAAGAACTTTCGTGGAAGAAAGAAGGTAACAAGATTCAATACACTTTCAACTATCAAGTGTCTGATTTGGTTGGACAAGCCACCTGGGCTATTCAAAACAATAAACTTGATTACGCATTGGACTTGTTGAAGGAAACTGACGAAAAAGTTCACCAACGTAATAAACTCATCCGAATTGCAGACACGAGTGAGGGTGGCTGGGAAACGGTGCGCCAATACGAGACTAATCCAGTTGCCAGCGATAGTGAGGACGAAAACAAAATATCTAAGGCAGAAAACAGGGCTTTACGTAAACGTAAACGAAGTCAGCAGAAAAAGTCGTCTACATCGCAATCTAAGAATGCATTACCTCCAGGGCCTCATTCTAATTGTGGGAATCCTCAACTTCAGTCATGGGGTACGCAGAATTCCGCTTCGGCCACCTTCCAGGCAGGGGCAAGTACATCTAATTTTCGTCCCTACTCAGGAAAGGTATATGGCAGCTGCTTCGCATGCGGGGATTTCTCCCACTACAGGAAAGACTGTCCATACGTGTCAGGCACTTACACCAGGCAGAGGTATCCAACCGACAACGCCCAGAACAGAAAATGAAACCGCCAATTTGACAGATGAGTATTCTATTTATAGATGTAACTGTATTGATTTTCACGGTGAAAGTTTCACCCATGATTATTTCGAGTACGAACAGGGTCAGAAATCTATTATTGTAAAAGATAGGTTAAAACAAAATGTGAAATTTTGGCAAACAATTGGAACTAATGAATTTATTTTGGATGTTATCACAAACGGGTATAAAATTCCTTTCTTTTCTTTGCCACCTGCATGTATTTTAAAGAATAATAAATCTGCTTTAGATGAAAGTAGTTTTGTACATGAAGCAATTACTGATTTATTATTGAGAGGGTCGATTCAAAAATGTGATAAAATTCCTACTGTTGTTAATCCTTTGACAGTTTCAGTTCAGTCATCAGGGAAAAAACGTTTGATACTTTATTTAAGGCATGTAAACAAACACTTGTGGAAACAGTCTGTAAAGTACGAGGATATCAGAATCGTACTCAATTATTTTCAACCCGATTGTTACATGTACAAATTTGATATTCATTCTGCTTATCATTTCATTTCAATATTTCCATCTCATACTGATTTTTTAGGTTTTTTCATGGACTGATGAATATGGCAAAACTACATTTTTCAAATTTTTAGTATTACCTTTTGGAATAAGTACAGCCCCATATATTTTTACCAAATTAACAAGGCCTCTAATTGCAAAATGGAGAGGAGAAGGGAAAATGATAATTATGTTTTTAGATGATGGTTTCGGATGTGATAAAGATTTACCTGGTTGCCAAGATACTGCACTTTCAGTAAAAAATGATCTTCTTGAATCTGGGTTTGTCCCTAAGGCAGAAAAGTCTTTGTGGGTACCAGTGCAAAATCTTGAGTTTTTGGGGACTATTCTTGATTCTACTCTAAACAGTGTTTATATACCTGATAGAAGGGTTCAAAAGACGTTGAATACTTTAATGGATGTTGAAAATTCCATAAAGAAACACAGGCGGGTTAATGTGAAAAAAGTTGCCAGTTTTGTAGGTCAGATTATATCTATGTCCATTGTGTTGGGTCATATTTCTCAAATAATGACACGAAATTTAAGCATAGATACAGCCAGCGCATTTACAAATTTACAAATTTTGAATATTAACAAGTTACATATTGTTGATATTTTCACTAAGTGTGTCTATAGTGACGCCAGTGTCACAGGATTTTCAGGTTATGAGGTGGAAACTGTAAATGGGGTGGCTCATGGTTTATGGTCAAATACTGAAAAGTTAAGATCCTCTACTTGGAGAGAGTTAACTGCTGAATTTAGAGTTATACAATCTCTTAGACAAATATTGATAGGTCACAAGGTCAAATGGTTTACGGATAACCAGGCTGTTAGCACCATCGTTAAAAAAGGGTTCACTTTGTTTCCAGAATTTTGTACTTCACAACAGCAGGTGTCAAGTGCCGTGTGGCAGCCGTAAAAAGTTGCCCCGTACTTCACTTTAGTGTTGTTATATTTTCTGGTCCTTCGGGATCATTGATGCCAACACTATAAAGTGTTGAGAATTGAGTACCGCTCAAGCCGGTGCTAGGGGGCGTGAGGGATGTTGCACTTATTCATTATCCCTCATGTACAGACTCAATCAAACCGAGTATGCAATTCTTATGTTATTTTGTTGTGATTAATGCTTCCGAGGGATCACTTTGTTTCCAGAATTTTGTACTTCACAACAGCAGGTGTCAAGTGCCGTGTGGCAGCCGTAAAAAGTTGCCCCGTACTTCACTTCAGTGTTGTTATATTTTCTGGTCCTTCGGGATCATTGATGCCAACACTATAAAGTGTTGAGAATTGAGTACCGCTCAAGCCGGTGCTAGGGGGCGTGAGGGATGTTGCACTTATTCATTATCCCTCATGTACAGACTCAATCAAACCGAGTCTGCAATTCTTATGTTATTTTGTTGTGATTAATGCTTCCGAGGGATCACTTTGTTTCCAGAATTTTTTCATCTTTACCCAAGTGCTCGATACAATATACTATATATTCAGAATTTTGGTTTTGTTGTTGTTCTATTTAGTTGATACAAATAGATCAGTAAAGGTCAAAGGAACTACTTTTTTGCTCTTTAGCTAGAACATGTTACGTTAATGACAATGTTATAGTGTCATTAGTTGTCAGACTGTCGGAAACACAAAACTAATGATGTTGCAAGTCTCTAATGTTCTTTTAACTTTGCATCATCTTTTTAATATGATTTTTGTGCAAACTTGTTACTTTATTTATCTGACAGTAAACTCCTATTTACGCAGCATAACATATATTTTGTACTTTATGTACTAGAATATGGGATGTCTGCAGATTATTATTTAATAGCTTAGTAATTGTACTAGAAATGACAAAACCATAATGTATAATTTTGGAAACTATTACTTCATTTTGTTTGTTAATTATCGTGTAAGTTTTAACAAAAACACACAGAAAAACACGAAAACCGGTTAAACCAATAGATGTTCCCTAGTGTCGATTTGACATTTTCAATAAGGAAATATGTTTGACATTTTCAATAAGGAAATATGGAAATATCGAATAAAACATTGGTGCCTAAGACATTTATTCCCTGATTTCTGTTATTTAAAATCCCGCCTACATGGCCTAAGGGCGCATATTTATAGATGGAATTTAATGCTTAAAGCCCTAACCCTAGGTACATGTCCAGGAGATTTTCCGCATGGCTTGGTAATTTTTTGCACTGGCGATTTGTTCTTTGTCTATATAAATAAATATATTTATCTAACATATTGGTTGATTTTTTTAATACTCAAAGAAGAACAGAATATGAAACAGCTCATACTAAAACTTCAACGTCAACTTCAAACCCGAAGACATAATAAAAATTTTATAATAATATGCAATATATTGAGATACCAAATATACAAAATGTTGTTTTACATGAAAATACGACATTAGAAAAAAGGTACAAATTGCAAAAGCGCGTAAAAAAAAGGCCAGAATGAGTTTGACAGCAAATAAGTATTAATTAATCATCTCAAGAAAGTAGAGCATGTCCTATATACTTCTCTATCAGCTGATTTGATATACAAAACACAGTAGCAATTTTATAGTTAACTTTGAAATCTTCAAAATATAAAAAAGTAATGTTACAACAGTCATTAAAATATCTGATTAATACGTATATAATATTATAATTACAATATAATACAATTGAGAAAAGAATAAACGAGGCTTCGTAAACACGATATGTTTAAGTTTCTCTTATTTTGCTCATCCATTTAAAGTGAATGCCAATATCAGAAATAAAGAAGCATTTAAATGTTCAGCAAATTTGATTATTTGAGTAAAACTTCTGAACATCTGTGAGAGAAACATAAATTCGCACGAGCTTTTTTTTATTAGGCTTAAGCATATTTATTTTCTGTGACATTCTTGTATTTGAATAACGTGTCCCGTTCGTTTTCAAAAAAGCTATAATCAAATAACATTTTAGAAATAAAGGCAATCTGATATACCCTCTATTAAGGAAAATGAATGAAACGCTTGAAGAATTAGAGAGTCTTAGCTTAGCAGTCCTCGTTCTATCATCGGAGCAAAATACTTCATTATTATTGTGTGAAGCTAGTTGATAGTGAAGAATCTTATCTAAAACTTAAGTGTAAATATGCTGTTATATCAATTACTATTTTTATACCTCACGATTCACAGTGGTTATTTCCCATTTATTTCTTAATGATATCTGTATTTCTTAATAAATTATGTTTGTTAATTTCCATAGAACAACAGTTAAAGTCCGTTCATTATCGCCTTCTATTTTTCATAGTGCTTAGAACCGCGTTTGTAAAAATAGTCGTGACGAAATCAAGTGAATATTAATGAAGCCAAAAAAAAAACTTGACACTAAGTATATTAGTATTATTCGTAGCTATCACTCCCGTCGAAGTTTCTAATTTCTTTAGAACAGCATGGATGAACACTAACATATACTTATAATATAAACTATCTAAAAATAACGGCTTAAAATAACCTAGTCAAAACCATGTCTCTGACATCTGCCATCGACATTCATACGTTTGACAAAGTTATATACTGACTGAAATATAACCGTAACGAAAATACACTCAATCTGTTAATTTTGGTAGATAGTATAAATATTGAAATGTAAAAAAGTCGAACAATTCGTTGAATTTATTTTTAGTAACATATGATTGTGACGTTTCCATTTTTGATTGCTGTTTATAAATGAAACTGACAAATATTACTGACATTTTATTCAATGTAGTATTTTTGTTATGACAACACATTACATTGTAGCATATATAGATAAAACACAAAATGTATACAATAAGAAACACTCACGCAGTTATTCCATCTGGAAGGTTCCCTATGTCTACCTTAGAATGTTTCCTGTGTTCGGAGACAATCTGTTCATAGCTTGCCGATCGCCGACGTCTTTTGACACTACACAGCCTCCATACTACCACAATCGCAAGTATGACTACCAAAACTGCAATCACTGATCCGGCAATGATAACAGCTGACGACACTGAAAATACACAGATAACAAAAGTTTAACTTTGTGTTTTGCTAGTTCTAAATATGAGCATATAAGGAAACAATGAAAATCATTTCAATATGTCAGATTAAAAGGATTTTTTTCCAGAGATGCACTTGTTAACACAATACAAATATGCATCTTCTTAAACAAGGGTCATGCAGTTCATTTTGAGAAATATTTCAGTTAAATTCTGTGGAAAGGTTTTTAATCGCCTACAATGTCATACAAAAATCGGTCTGAAGTGTGAAATTTCAAATCAATGTCTTCTATATTTGCTTTGATATAATTTGCAGACAGAACCTAAATCGGGAAGTTTCTAAATAAAAGGAAGTTGTCATTAAGTCAATATCCTAACTAGAATTATGGGTGTTAGTCAGTACTCCATAATTAGGATATCAAAGACATGTGTAAACTTTAAAAGGAAAGCGTGTCGCCTTTTTTGTGGATGAGGAGTTGCTTTTAAGGTTTATAAC